GAATAACCAAACTGAAATGACATTCTGTTTTAATGATGGTACAATAAAAGTCTCTCTAAATTCAAATAAAATCCAATCATTAACAATAATCTAAATTTGTCAATTGCTTCCACCGCGACTGGTTTGCCATCGTTCATATAAATGAATATGACACTATCACTTGTTTTACGGCAATGGATGCAACCCTACATAGACACACTGATGTGAGTTGTGGCACCAGAATCTATCCATCAGGTGTGTGTAGGTACATAAGTTAAATTAATCTCAGAATAAACAAAATTAAGAAGCATACATTTCTTTGCATGCCACACATGATAGTTAGTGCATTGCTTCTTCTAGTGTCTTGGAGCTTTACAGAAGAAATAAACATTTTTTGTCTAAACCTTTTGTTGCTTCTTCTATAGTACTGGAACCGCAAAAGATTTACCTGTTTTTTTTCTTATTCTTCTTATTATTTGAAATCACTACTAAATGAGCACTCTCTGTCCTCTAAGATTTGGGTCTTTCCTCCTCTTGAACATAATGTGAAATGAGTTCATTTAGATTCCAGAATTCTTTCTGACGTTATATGTCACTTTAAACTGTGGTGGAAGATAAATTAAAACAAAGTACACAAGTACTTATTTTGGCAATTTCACTCTAAGTGCTTTGAGCTTTATATGCACATGTGACATCTCCATTATATACTCTCTAATGTTTTTATTTTTCTTATACCTCATGAAAATAAGAGTCGACATAAGTATACATGTCTCGAACTTATTATTTATGGTGAAATGTTGTTCTAGAGAATGGAAGAAATCTCTACCTGTTGTAATTTTCTCAAAGATAGTGTCCCGAAAAACCTCTAGAATGATATATTCTATAGCCAACATATTTGTACAATTTGACCAACCTCATCTTTCAAACTCCTTCTTTTCATCAGAAGTGCTGTCAAGAGTAATTAGATCTGATTGATCAACCTATAAAATCCAATCTAGATCCATAACTCCAAGCACAAATTGAACAATATTCTTCCATTACTTGAAATTTGTGTCGTTCAATATTGAGATGGAATTAACATTTACGATGATACTTCCAATAGAAAATAAAGCTAAACAGAGAACATACAAAAAATAAATTAATTGATACTCATACAAAAACTGTAAATCATAAAATTTAATAATGAATTTTAAACAAATGTATATTTTCATATGAAGATACCGAGCACTCTATTAACACTCTATCTTTGAATATAATATTAATTTGTAAGTTATACTCTGTAACAATAATTAAATACAGTCAGTAAAAACATATCAAACAATAAATCTTCTTTTGAGCTGATTTAAAGTTCACATGTCATACTGAATAACTGTCACATATTCATTACTTCAAAAATAGAATGCAATAATATTAAATATTAACATTCCTTTGAGCCGATTAACATTCATGTAAATTATACTCATACAACTATTTACATTATTAAATAAATAAATTATCTACAAGAGATATCACTTTGGTGACATCAATACGTGTATTCACATAGCAATATCAAAATTCAAAATCAAAACCAAATTTAAACTCAAAGAAACTAAAACCAATTTTTTTTTTCTTGCTTCATATATATATATATATACACACACACACACACATACATGCTTAAAATATATATATACATATATAATATTTAACTTCTTAATATATATATATATATATTTCTTAATTTTTTGCATATATTTTCAACTAAACAAAATAGAACCTAAAATTTAAAATTTTAAATCTAAATCCAAAATTTGAAATTTTGAATCTGAATCCAAAATTATATAATATTATAAAAAAATTCTTAAAAATTCAATACGAGAAATGATTATAATATCAAATGTTAGAATAAATTT